TCTTCTCCCTTCCCCATGGGTTTGGGAAAAATGAAGATGAGCTATGAAATCCATCCTCAACTACTATGTAATACATTTGAATCCTTTAAATTGACTTGTGAGTCCCAAATAAAATGGTATCACTAACAGTACTGTTTCACAGTGATATAAAATGCAGGACATGGAACATTACTATTCCTAGATTTGCCATTCTAGGTCAGCAGTACATGGCATGAATCTTTGCTTGTGTATGTGTGTGTGTGTGTGTGTGTGTGTGTGTGTGTGTGAGAGAGAGAGAGAGAGAGAGAGAGAGAGAGAGAGAGAGAGAGAGAGAGAGAGAGAAAGTGAGTGACCAAGCTGATGTGGGTCCATTGTCCTATCAAAAAATGTTGAATACCATTTAACTTTATTTGTGTGTATCACAGGTTAAAAAGACAAGTTGAAATAGCAACAAGATGATCTGTAAGTGTCCTCTTAGTGGTGAAATACTGAACGTATTAGGGAAGGAAAGTTTTTAGAGAGAAACATGTAGAGTTTTGAAGCATGTTACTGACCAAATTTCAAGCGTCCCCTCGGGTCTATTGGAGCAATACCCAGCTCCTGAAGATCTCCTAAATCTTCATGATGGTTTGCTGCCTTTCTGGCTGATGACGTATTTTAAACTCTTTTAGAATAGTTTTAGACCTGCAGAAAAGACTGCAGAGAGGTGCTCCACACTCTACTAGCTTCTTGTGTTTTAATGGCCTCAGATGCAACACACTTGTTATACAAAGGGCACAGGCATGGGTATGTTTCTTCTAGCCATACTCCACAGTTTATTACCATCTGCTGGTTTCTCCGATCTCTTTCCCTTGCTCCAGGATTCCATTTAGAATGCCATTGTTACCTTTAGTCATGTCTCCCTAGATTCTTCTGCTTTTATTAATTATTACTAATACTACTAATAGATTTTTCTTTCATTGTTATTATTAATAATAATAGATTTTTCTTTCATAAGAAGCCCTGACACTCAGTCATCAGATCTCAAGGGGAAAAATATCTAGCCTTTCATTTATTTTATATCATAATTATCATTTACTTATATCATTATTATTTATATCATAATTTTATATCATTTATTATTTTGACTTTATGGTCACAGTTGCAGAGAGCATGGCTAATTGATGAGATTCTGGTCCATTGAAAGATTGAGACCTCATGAGGCACTTGGGCCTCAGTCTATAATTCTAGCTACTCAGGAGACTGAGACCTGAGCAGGACAGTTTAAAGGGTATAACACTCTATCTTCAATTAACCAGAAAAAATCTGGATAGAAAAAGTAGAGGTGTGGCTCAAGTGATAGAACACCAGCCTTGAGTGAAGAATTCAAGCAAGAGCGAAAGGTTCTGAGTTCAAGCAAATAAAATAAACGATAAATAAACAAACAAATAAATACAAATCACACCTGTATTGGTTACTTGAATTCTTACCAGTTGTTGGTATGGAACAGTCCTTGTAGATATATAGGTTTATTTCAGTGGGAACATAGTGGGGTTAGTACTACTTATGGAAGAGTCAGTATCAGATTTATATCTCTGATCTACTCCACCCACGTACAGACACTAGATGCCTCTGCCTAGGTAACATCCAAGATTAGTTGAAAACTCTAGGGTAAGGGATGAGATTCAAACATTCTTACTTAGAAGAATCACTCAGAAGGATTTAAGAGTTGAACCCTAATTTCTTTTCAGTGTGAGACTTTCTTGGGTCTTTCAATGTGTAGTGATTTTCCACCAAACCTTGGATACAATTTTATGCCATGTGATGACACTGTAGGTCTTATGGAAGCTCACAGATCTTCTGATTTCATTGGCTTTGTCTGACACTTCTCAGTGAAGGGGCAGTCAGAGTCATCTGTCATTCTTGCAAGGAGATAAAATCCAGGCTGTCCACTGGCCCCCATTGGGATCCTTGGTACCATTGGGCAGGGGTAGGATATCTGGATCCCCACATGATCTCTGTTGACTCCATTGAAAGTTGCCTGATTCCCAGTAGTCAGTGGCCTCGATACCACTCCGGGATTGAGGAAAGGGAAGATACTTCATGACTTCTGGATTGGGTGAAATCCCAGACTCCCCACCTTGTCTCTGCTAACACAGAGAGAGGGATGGATGCTTCTTTGGTGGCGGACCAGCATTCAGGCCCCAGCTGGCTATTCTCACACTGCTCTGGTAGGGGTGTCAGGGTTTATTGTAGAGTTTCATGAAAGAAAATGTCTAGTTTCTCCACTCAGCTTTTGCTGACAGGAATGACCTCTGTGTTTTCTGTGGCCAGAATGGTGCAACTATTGTCTAAATAGGTTATGCCGTGTAGGCCGTCCCTTTCCTGTTCCTATGGCTGGGGATAGCAGGCTTTCATTGGGACTGTCTTGGCCTGTGGCTGGTGGTGTGTGGGTGGCTGGCTTCTTCAGTGTCAAGAAGAAAATCCAGGGATCTCCTTCCATGCTGTGTTGTTTCTTGGGTTCTGGGGCCTTGAGCTAGTCTGCCTTCTCTACACCTGACAGAGCCTTCTTACATGAAGACATGCTTGGTTTTGTTTTTAATCTATAACACTCAGGTTCTTTTAAAGTTGCGTTTCACTTCCTGGGAGCAGAAGTCTTTGCTTTTCAGTTTGTGTCATTACTTGTTTCCCACCCATGCCCAATATTTTATTATTCATATTTTCAGAACTACAGAGAAGATGCTGGTGTGGTGGCGCGTGCCTCTAATTCCAGCACTTGTCAAGCTGAGTTTAGGAGGATGTCAAGTTCAAGGCCACCCTGGGCTATATCACAAACCCTGTCCAAATCCCCAGATAAAAAGGCAATTGACAGAATACAGAAAAGATAAAGGCATGCACCCCATGCCATACCCACTTAATATTTTCCATATTTTACTTGCTTGCACATCTTATCCATTTACTCATTCCATCTAATCATCCACTTAGTATTGTTGTTTGGCAGTACTGAGTTTAAACTCTAGGCTTCCTTCACATTTGCTAGGCAAGAGTTCTACCACTTGAGCCACACTTCCAGCACTTTTTGTCCTGTTTTTGTTTTTGTTTTCAATAGGGTCTTGTTTTTTTTCCCCCCAATCCAGCCTGTACCACAGCCCTTCTGTTTATGCTTTTTCCTTTGTAGCTGGGATGACAGGTTTACTCTATGCACCAGCTTTTTCTGTTGAGATGGAGTTTCATGAACTTTCACCTGGGCTTTCCAGGAGCCATGAACCTCTCTGTCTTAGCTTCCTTTGTAAAGGGGATGACAAGGTCATACTATCAGGACCATCTACAGAATTCAGTGGCAAACTAGTGAACTCTTTGTCTAGACTAGCCAACAACTGTAATCTTCCTGATCAGTTTCTCCCTGGCTTTGTGCTTGCCATGTGATTTTTTCTTTTTTCTTTTCTTTTTTTCAGTCCTGAGACTTGAACTCAAGGTCTAGGCACTGAGCTTCTTTTGCTCAAGGCTAGCACTCTACTGCTAGAGCCACAGCGCCACTCCCTTTCTGATCAATTTCTGACTCCCAAGAAGCTAGGCATGAGCCACTGGTACCCACTGTATTATAATTGAGAGGGTTCAATATAATTCTAAACACTCCATCCAGCATTATGGTTTTCTCAGACAAATACTCCATGGAATGAAATGGGCAAACTTATAAACACCATTTGATCAGTTGTGCCCAATGCAGCCACTATTGAGATCAATTCCATCACCCCCAGGCATTCCCTCAGGCCCCTTCCTAATTAATTCCTACCTCTTTCTCATTCCAAAATAAAACTACTGCTCTGCTCTGGTTTTCTTTTCTTGATCTTTTTTTTTTTTTTTTGCCATAAATTCATTTCACCTATTTTTAAACTTTACATAAATAGAACCACATAGTGTATACTTTTCTACATATTCTTACAATTTAGCACATTTTTAAGACATATTCACATTGTTGATTTTGTTGTTTTTTGCATCATCAGTTAGTTTTGTACAATAATTTTTTTTTTAGTGACACAAATAAAAATAAGCAAATCTACTCTATCTTCCTGGAAATGGAAACTCTTACTCTTAATTTTGGGGTTTTCCCCCTCAGCATTTTATTTTGAAAAACACAGAGAAGATAAAAATCAATTTGCCCCCCTAAACACATATGCATAACACCTAGAACCAACACTCACATTATGCTGTTTTTACCTTATTGGATATATGTCCTTCTGCTCATTTAAAAAATTGCTTATTTAAAAAATGCTATTTTATTGAACAAATAATACTATAGTTCATCCATTGTAGGCCACTTCTAGCTCTTTCCTAGTGAAATTTGGGAATTAGAGTAGTATAAGTAATCTCTATCTCTCATCTGCCTAGAACTTCATGCAAGGCAACTTAGGATTTTGTGCCTTCTGATGTAGAAAATGTTTGAAGAGTACAGAGACATTTCACTTGTGGCTTTCCACAAGTGAGTTTTGCACATATTTCTTGTTGCTAATGATATGTTTCTTTGAAGATGAAAATTATCTTTTTTGTAGCAGAAAGAAAAGATAGATTCAGCATCCTATAAAATTTAGCTTCCTGGCACCAGATTTTGTTTGTGAAAGAGAAAGGCTGGTTTTAACCACACCATAACTGTGACATTCATAGCTGTGAATGCCAAACTAGTCTCCAGAGGAACTTCCTATTTCAGGGATGCTTAGAATACTCTATTCTTGCAAAATATTGCTGTAATTGTGGCTCATGGGTTCAGCTGTGTTTCACAGATATTTATTTGTCTGGCTGCACCTATTATGCAAGTCTCTTTTCTATTTCCTCCAAGTGATGACCTAAGGGGACGATAATTTCTGATTGACTGACTTACTGATTGATACCTAGGGAGTCCTACCAGCTGCACAATGGGACAAAATAAACTTTATGTGGGATTCCAGTTAGTGTGGGCATGCTTACTAACAGTACAAGAAATGATAAATGATGTAGAGTCAGGCTTTTATTTCAGCCCATCTCTGACTTGATTTTTCTTCATACAGTTGACGGACTGGACAAAGCTTCCATAGCAAACTCGGATGGCCCCCCGGCAGGTTCGCAGACACCTCCTTTCAAGCGAAAGGGGAAGCTCTCCACCATTGGAAAAATCTTCAAGCCTTGGAAATGGAGGAAAAAGAAGACAAGTGACAAATTTAGGGAAACCTCAGCAGGTACGAGTGGCCTAATCATTACAAGAGAGGATTAAATATTAAATTATTCTACAGGTAGAAAATTATATTTTGCTTTTTTTCAGAAAAAAGTAATGTGACTATGAAATGATTTCATTGAAGGATAAAACAACTTAAGGTTTCTGATTTTAATTTATCCTTGTTTCAAAATATATTTGTAAAGTCTTATAAAAACTGATATGTGGGTAAGAGGAGGTAAGGTAGAAAACTAGAAGTGCAATGTTATTTATCATCATTGTGGTGACAAGCATATACTTACATGTCCATGTAGAGTTGCATATCTGTCTGCCTAGGTCTCGTATCATTTACTTATTTGTTAATGAAAACTTTTTATAAAGAATATTTTGGGTGTGTTTGTTCCACAGAGGACACTGAAATGTTGTATGAGAAAAGATGTTGTGCTATTTGTGGTTTAATTTTAGGTTTTGTTTTCATCGTGTCTTTCAGACAAATAAGTGGCCACTGTCCCCATGGGTGGGCATGGTTTTCATTATTAATTTAACTTGTATTTATTAGGGTTTTAAGAATTGCGTTGTTTAGTGTCATTCATATAAACTCACAGAAGAAATTGGCTTTGAATCTCAGACCAGCATTACACCCAATTTAAACAAGAGCCAGGAGTTCAAGGTGAGAAGGTGTTTAGGTGTTTATATAAGTTCAGTTTTCTCCACGATTACTATCCAAGAGAGTTCCTTCAGCAAAATTCCTCATTGCACCATAGTCTAACAACATCAGAGTGTGTACATGGTCACAGAGCATAGCTTATTGTTCTGTGCTAAGAAAGGCCTTTGGACTTGTGACATACATTAGAAGGCTATGCAATAGGGACATCGAAACTCCTTGGGGAAATTTGGGTCCCATACATTTGCAGTTATATAATTTTCTTGAGTTTTTACTATGTAACAGGAAATAATGATGCCTGAGCTGTTTCAGAATTACCCTGAAGGGGGATCTGAGTGGGTAAGATTATAGGAGAATATAGGCTAGGAATTTGGGGATGATTGGGCCCACGGAGTTTATTATTCTCATCTTTCTATGGGTAGGTATTAGAAAAATATCCGTAATAAAAATGGGAAAAGAAAAGGCTTGACTGAAGAGAAAATGATGATTGGTTGGTTATTGGTGCCTCTCAAGTGCCTTCTGTGTTAGATGGTGGTGGAACTGGTGGACTGGGTGCTGTGCCCTGAGGTCACACGTGAGGTTAGTGTTTGTGCCACGAGCTCATCCAATGTCCTTGCTTCATTCACATTCAGCTTCTGGGCCATGGATTTCTCATTTCCAACATCAGGAAGTTGAATGATTAGAATTCTAACCTACTTTAGTTCCAGATTCTGTTGTTGGTTCTCAGGGAGACCGTTGACTCTTTCCAGTCCTTGGCTGAGCATCTGTTACCTGTTCTTCGAGTATAGATAGAACCACCTCAGCCTTCTTTAGTAGCTGGATCTCACATTTTTTCTGTATTGGGAGAATCTGGCTTGTCAAGTTATTTTGGTTACCAAAGATGGGAATGGGCTCTGGGCTCTAGCATTAAGAAAAAAAAAAGGAGAAAGGAAGGGAATCCTCTTCATCTTCACCTGAATCTAGGCTTCAAACATTTTTTCTCCTTTTTCCTGTTAACTTGTTTTTTAATTAGTTATAATGAATTGACAAAATAATTGTAAATGTATCTTAATACTTTAATGAATGAAGCTCAAAGCAGAGACATTTTGTATACATTAACTGTGCAAAGGGGGTTTCTTTGATGGTATAATTTTTATTCACTTTGAAGGAAGATAATATATAGTAACTGATGCATTTGGAAATCACCATGAAAAAGATATAGTCATTAAAAAAGATATCTTCTTTTGAAAATGATCTCACAGAATGAAATTGAGCAGTTCAGATATGGCAGTCTATGAAGCATGCCTTAGGCAAGACCCACACCGTTTGGGGTATGACAGAGGGGGTTTTCTTCCACGTTCATCCCTCTCCTAGCCTTCTGGCTTGATACTCACATGGACATGAATCTTAATGTATCCTACTATACAGTGATTGATATTATACCACTTTTCCTGGTCTCCAGAGTTTCTGTTGCAGTAAGTGTTAGTGGCTAGTAGTTAGGACACCACACTAATTTATATTATTAATACCAATGCAATAATGTATTCACTGTTGTGGTGGCAGGCAAAAAGAGCTCCATTCTTGACCTGTTCTGGTTTTCCTTGAGTCAGCGATATTTTGGAATTCTCCTCCTAATCCCTGAGATCTCTTGTCGTTTAAGGCAAACTGGGTTTGAGTCCTGACTTCCAGTTGGTTCTTTGGTCTTGTTTTAAGGCAAAAGTTATCTATATCGCTGCCATTGTCTGTCCCTTTGGTTGTAAGGGAGTAGTCCTCTTTTCTGTCTGTAGTCATGTGTCACCTAATGATGGGACACATTCTGAGAAATGGATCTTGGGCTAGCTCATTGTTATCTGAACATTGTGGAATGCCCTACACAAACTAAGATGGCTACCATGTGCCATGATTGCTGTTTTGCCCAGTATCATTCTTACTGCTCTTCATGTCCTGAGCAGTAGAGCTCTTCTTCAGTCTCACCTAAGCTAAGGTTCTATCCTTTTTTATCTCTAGAACTCAAAATGTCATTTACATCTTGTTTTTTTTCTCCATTTTTTATTTACCTTTTAGTTATCTTTAAGTAGTTGTGCAAAGGAGCTGCCATTCAACAAGCAGTTTATGAATACAATGCATCTTGGTGGCTGTCACCCCTTTTAACATTCTCACCCATCCCTCCCCTACCCACCCATTCTCTTATTTTCTTAATTTAGTAATGTATACATTGAATTTCCTTCCTCTTCATTCATCTTTCCTTCTCCCCTTGGCCTCAAACTACCTCTTGTGAGTATGCATTTCCTGGTGCTTATTTTGTTACACTTGGACTTTGTCTTTGTAAGGAATTACACTTATTTGAGTTCTCTCTTGAATCTACAGTATTTCAATTAATACATTCGTAACCACTTGCTTATTACCCACGATAGAAACCATGCAACTTCTGTTTCTCTGGGCTGGACTTCACTTAATATAATTTTTTCCAAGTCTTTCCATTTCTTCACAAATGGTACAATATCATTCTTTCTAATGGATGAGAAAAATTCCATTGCGTATATATACCGTGTTTTCTTGAACCATTCGTCCACTGAGGGACATGTGGACTGACTTAAGTATATCTTGTTTTGACCTGTTCTGTGTTCAAGGAAAAATGAGAGAGTACTTCCTCTGGCTCTTTAAAAGTTCTTGCATCTTCTCCAAACTAAGCATTCATGTAGACACCTTATCTAATCAGTTTTTCCTATGGCATCGTGTGGTCTGCTATCATCCAGACCAAACATCTTGCCATCTAGCTTTTGTCTGCTGCTTCCACTTTTTCCCCATACTCTAGCTCTCTCTCCCACTGCAGCTGTCTGCCTCTAGCATCCACGGGGGTCGCTGCAGACATCCTTGTTATTAAGCTCAATGTCATTGCATTATTTACATCCATTTAAGCTTCCGCAGCATTTGTCATCAGTAAGTAGTTCTTCCCTGGTGTATGAAAGCTATTATTACCTTGGTTGCCTTCTTTCTTTCCGACTTTGGCCGCCTCTTTTCATCCTCTTCTTATCCCTCTGACTCCCTTAATGGGAGTTTGCTACATATCTTAGACATCCTCTTTCATTTCAGACTGCCCTTCCTCTTCATAAGCACATCCTAACCTTATCCAGGCTCTTGCCAATGCCTAGACATCTACCCAAACATCTGCTGGTATCGATGACTGAGGCCGGCATGTTATCTCAAACACATTCCTAGGGCACTGCAAAATGTGATGTGTGCCAATCACTGCTCTGTGTTCTGCAGTACATAAAAAGCAAGGTGCCTGCTCTCCAGGAGCTTTCCTGCCATGAACAGACACAGGGAAGAGAGTGTTCAGAGGTACTGTGTATAAGTACATGCCAGCCAAACTGCTAATCTGAGCTCAGTCTGCTGTTGTAAATGTGGCTGTGTTTGGCATCTGGACTTATTATCAAGGGGTTCTTTGACTCCTCCTTGTCTGTCATCTCCGTTCTGTGAGTACAAGCTCTTTCACCTCCGCCTGTTCTCTGAATCTATTGCCCTGCCCCTGTGAGTTCACATAAATGATGACAATGTGCCTCTTCTGCTATCTGTAGATATTTATTTGTGCTAGCTAGAGAAGGCTAGGAAAGGCTGGGTTCTGGTAGTAGTCCTGTCTGTGAGGCTTACATTGTGTGGCAGGTGAGGTGGTAAGGAGGTTTAGGATGGTACTAAGCTATCAGGAACCTCAGAGTGACCATGATAATAACTTTCTCAGTCTTAGGCAACTAGAGCAAGAAAATGGCAGAGCATCTAGATGACTGATGTTAGGAAAGCTAAAGAGAACTTGGAATTCGGGTGCTTTGGACTAGAGTTACAGTATTCATCTACCATGATTCTTAGGTTGGGGATCAACTATGACCCTATCCTTTTGGGGGAAGGTGGAAAACAGACATGGTAACTAGACCAGGACTTGGGAGAGAAATTCCCAAGGTTAAAATGAACTATAAGAAATGGATTTAGAGTTGGGCACCAATGGCTCACACCTGGGCTCTTTGCTACTCAGCAGACTGAGATCTGAGGATCATAGTTGGAAGCCAGCTCAGGCAGGAAAAGTCTGCGAGACTCTTATCTCCCATTAATCACAGAAGAAAAAAAAACATAAATGGCTCTGTGGCTCAAGTGGTAGAGTGATAGCCTTGAGCAAAAGATGCTCAGGGGACAGCACCTAGGCCCAGAAGTTCAAGCCCCGGGACCAGCAGAAAAAAAAAGGATTTAGGGACAGAATCTCTTCAGATGCCAAACCAACAGTGCTGGAGTTATTATGCCAGAATAGCAAAGCCCAAGAACTCTGGAAAAGAACCACAGAGACAGGAGGGCTTGCTGTAGTCAGTAGCAGCCCAGATGGGTGGATCTGGGAA